AGCCATGAATACTATCAAAGAGAACACATTTCATTTGAAGTATTCTGTTTTTCTTCTTCAGTTTTGCTTTTCACGTGATAATTCTTCGTCCAAGTTTTCAGAAAACTCTAAGTTCAAAAGGATTTGGGCACTTTTATCAACTCGACTTTTTCATTTCGCGAAGCAAAAATTCTCTCACTTTTATTTTCCTGTCTGAGAACTGTTGCCACCACTCACAAAATACTATGCACTCTATTTACGTGTGTTTATTTTCTATTACTCTGACTTCTTCAAAGGAGGATCTAAGACAGCTTACCAAAAAATGCACACACACACACACACACACACACACACATGCTGTATCAGAAAAGTAAGTAAAGTAAATAGAGCTAAGGGGGAGGGGGTGATAAGATAGTAAAATTAACTCAAAGATGTTACTGCACAAAAATGTACCGGTCAACATCTTTCCCCAACATCCCTCCCTCTTTATAGAGGTAAAGCACAAATTTGACTATAGGAAAAGGAAAGGGGAAGTGACCACATAACAATATTTCAAAAGCAGAACTTTTCTTCACATTGAAGTCTAAGGGACATTGTTTTGGTGAATCCTTATAAAGATATCCATTGTTTTGAATTGTACAACATGTGAATGATTCTCAAAAAGGCCACTTCCACCCTTGCTAGAAAATTACATTGTTAGTGTATATTTCAGACTTAAGGTTGGGAGTTTGCGCATCAGCAGACCATATCAAAAGAAACCCACACTTACAAGTTAAAATATACATGTTGTAATTTTATGAATTTTAGTTTATTTTAAATATGCCTTGGTATAGGAGGCACACACACACATACATATAGGCATGTGTATCTATATACATACACATACATGTGTGGTGGGCAATTTTTCTTTAATGAGTAAATAAGTTGCATTGGCTTTGTTTTAATATCATGACACCAATGTGGTATCTCTGTAGCTTGTAGGGGTTGGAGTTCTACAGGATAGTGTCAATTTTGGAGAAATACTCTAAACACCAAGTCTAATTATAGTATTGAAAGGGGAAATTTGTTGTTTGTTAGTTTCTAAAAGCAAAAATAGCACATCAAAAGTAGCAGAAGAGGAACTGTAAATTTTCAAGGGATGGTTTAAGGATGAATAGTTGTTTGGTTATTAAAAGGATGTAAAAACTTTTATTACACTTAGCAGTGGAACATGTTACTACTCTGTAAATTATTAGTTCAAAATGGAGTATTTCAGACTCAGAGAATGGTACTTAAGGGAATAGATAAAAAGTAGATGCATGAAATAATTTACCTAGCTACTCCATCCTCAAGGAGGTGGATCATAAATCCCCAATCCTTAAGTGTGGGCTGCACATAGAGACTTCCTTCCAAAGTGCACAGTATGAAAGAGAGGAAAAAGAGTAACTTTCGAGTAGAGAAACCTGACAAACACTACCTTAGCCAGATGAGCAAGAGAACATCAAGAGTGATAAAGCATGTTGGCAGTATGTATCCTTAATATGATGTGATGGGAATGGCACTTTACCTCTATTGTCTTCCACCCCAGTACCTATAACCTTAGTATAATAATGAGAAACATCAGACAAATTCCAATAGAGAGGCATTCTGCAAAGTACCTAACCAGTGAAGGTCAGGTCAATGTCATCAAAATTGTCATTAACTGTCAAAGTTATCAAAAATAAGAAATGTCTGAAAAACTGTCACAGCCAAGAAGAACCTAAGGAAACACGATGACTTAATGTACTATGGGATTCTGGAGCAGAAAAAAAGGGCATGAGGTAAAAACGAAGGAAACTAAATAAAGTACATGCTTTATTTAATAGTAATGCATCAGCACTGGTTCATTAACTGTATGAAATGTACTGTACTAATGTAAGATGGCAATAGGAGGGAAAACTAGGTGGGAGCACATGAGAACTCTGTACTATACTCCCCATTTTCCCATAAATCTAAAACTGTTTTAAAATTAAAAGTTTATTTTAGAAGAATGGACACGTACTTTCAGCAAACAACCACGACTCGTTTAGTTTAGTCTCTCCTCACAGTAGTCAAAGTTTACCACACAGGATTTATAAGGATCGATTTACTTATAATAACTGGGAAGCTACCAAAGGTACTTTGACTAACACTGGAAAGTCAAACTACTAGGGAATTAAAGATAATGCCTAAATCTGTCTCCACTATCACCACCTTAAGAAAGGAACAGTTGAGACTAAACCATGAATCTAGACACAGTAACTGACATGGGTGGATCTGACTCACTGAGTCACATTTCATGGCTTCAGCTATGTAGGTATAATTAACAGTGACTCAAAATGAAATCACTGACAAAGGTTGCTCCTGGACCATCTGAGATAGTCCAAGTACTGACTTGGCTCAAAGGAAATAAAACTGAAAACTCTTGATCTCACCCCAAATAATCATTCTGCACCCTGTCTGAACCTTGGTCTCTTTACCCACCAGCTTACTCAAAACCACCACCCAGGGTGTCCCACCGCTAAGAAATAGACAACAAACAGGCCACCAAACTGGTAGCCAAGAAGGAACCATGAATGACGGGGCACGGTCTCTTTCAGAGCTCTGTGATCTCGACTCATTTGTCATCCATCCCCACAGGCAAAGCAGAGCTGGGGATCTTGCCCTTTCAAATGGGTCCGTTTTCAAAAGAAGATTACTTCACAACCCTAGATAAATTTGCATGGGGGTCTCCCCACACCCTCTGATACTGGGATGTGGAAAATAAAGGTTAAATGTTCCTCTCGAGTGGGAAGGGCTGGAGATGCCTTGTTGGCGCACTAGTGGTTCCTCGGGTTCTTCGTTTGGGGGGTAGGAAATGCAGTTAGGTAAAAATCGGGTGGAAGAGTTTGGAAAAGATTGTGCACACAACTTCAGGCAGAATTCATGAGAACCAAGGCATAGGAAATTTCCACAAGCTCTTTGTGTCCTGTGGGGAGGAAGTTTCTCCGACGCTTCTCCCTCTCTCCGGTCCTAATGTAATTGCATCTCTCACTCGCCTTACCCCATCGTCCCACTGGGGGCCCACAGTGTTCCTCTCGTAGATCTCTTCAGCCTCCAGAAAGGTTAAGTAACCGAAACGTGCAGCCTTGACTTCTTTAACTTTACTCTTTCCTTCTCCCAGGAGCCGTTCACAGAATTAAGTCGCGGAGAGCGCGGGAAAATGATACAAGTCGCCAGGCGTGAGGCGCGAGGCACTCGCACGAGGGCGGCCGAGTGTGAGCGAGAGGGCGGGGCACTCGCCTCCGGCGCTCGGGCCCAGCGCGCGCCGGCCCCGCCCCCGCGCGCGAGCTCCCGGAGCGCGCACGCGCGCTCTCCGGCGCGTACGCTCCGCGGTAGCGACGGACGGGTAGGGGAGCTGATCCCGGCGGTTTGCTCCGCTCTGTGGAGGAGAGA